GAACCATCTTGTATTAACACAAATGCTATCGGAATTATTTCCTTGGGTTCCCAGTCCTGAGAGACACGTGTTTCTGACAAGTTGTCTTCTTTGTGTGTCATTTCAGAGTAACTCTCCCTCGTTCTCCAGCTCTTGGATGGGAAAGGAGAAAGGATGCAAAAGGAGGACACGCTGAGGTGACGGGGGCAGGCTTTTCTGTCCTGTTTCTTCTGAGTCAAGACGAGATGGGAGCCCTCCTGCCCGGTGAGCATGTCAGTCACGCAGGCCTGGACGCTTGGGAGTGAGTCTGGCCGAGGAGCCCCGGAGACAGCTGTGCTGTCTTGGTGGTGAGTGGGCTGCCTATCTGAGCATCTCTCAAGTCGTCGCACTGTTGCCATGGCAGATCCCGCAGCGGTGCCCTTGGGAGCATGTGCAGCGTGACTGGAGGGGGGGGCGGACTTGTCTCCCCGGAAAAAGAACTGGTGCAATCAAGAGACTGATTTCTTGTGGGAAAGACATTCAGCCGCTGCTCCTCAGCTGTCTCTCGGTCCTACTGAAATTAGGCCCCAGTTCAAGTTGACTGCACCTGGGAAGGCTGTCAAAATGTCCCATTTAGTGACTGGACAAAGGAGATGGAATTGAGTGTTTCATTTACAAAGACTCTGTCACCTAGAGAGCTCGTTTGCTAACATTGTCCCCAAATCTTACCTGAACATGGTGGCGCCTGTAACCCCTGAACTCTGGGAGGTTGAGGAAGCAGAACGGCAAGTTCAGGCCCAGCCCGGGCAACTTAGTGACTTGGTGAGAGACCTTGTCTCAAAATAAAAAATTAGAAAAGGGCTGAGGATGTAACTCAATATGAAGGCCTCTAATCCCTAGTGCCACAAACAACAACAACAACAACGACAATGACAACGAACCCCTTCGATCTTCCAATCACAGAACACGCACGCTGAAGGGGGAAGTGTGGGAGTGGGGAGATCGCTAAGCTAGGGGAAAGATTTCTTGATGGCTCGGAAAGTGGCTTAATCAGGATAAGAATGAGTAACTGAAGCATGCGCTTCTATTCCACTCCCTGCTCCCTTGTTTGTTTTCCAGTAAAGGTCTTGCTGTAGGGTTCAGGTAGGCCTGAACTCACTGTAGCCCAGGTGGACCTCAAGCACTGGCACTGCAGGCATTTGTTACCACACCTGGCTCTCCCCCCATTTAAAAACATCCATGTAAACTGTTGAACTTGAAGTGATTCTAGTATGATGAAGTACCCTCAATTTTAAATGAATGTGAGCATTTTCCTTCTGGATTTATTCAGGAAAGTCCTCATTCCCTTTCTGTCTTGCCCAGGGAAAACCATTTCTATCAAAGAATTTTCCTCTTGGACTGAAGAATCCACCTAAGCTTGATTTTTCTTTCATGCTTCTTTTGACAGAAGCAAGCAGAGAGCCACTGTAAGAAATAAAAGGAGACAGAAAAACTTGCAGCAGGGACAGGTTTTCCGTAAAATAAAGACCTGGGAGGGGCTGTTGGCTCCAAAGTACCGCAAAGAGCTTTCCTGTAGAGTAAGGAGTAAGGGTTTACAGATGCTAAAGGAAATGAGGAAGGTAAGGACCTGCTCTTCTCAGGATGGGCCTTCAAGTCTGTGGTCACTGGACTGCCTTGCATTGGTGCAAGGTTTCCTATTCAAGAGGCTGAATGCCCCTTGACTTGGATGTTTAGTACAGTAAACAGATTTAATGGGCTTTATAACCAAGGGCCAGAAATGTGGGTAAACATGGGGAAAATGTGCCTGCTGGCTTTTCCCTTCAGCCACTAACATCACAAATAAAGACGCCTGTAAAGTAGATGCACCACTACAGTGTTGATCTACGGGACCCCAAAGCAGGTCGCTGAGTTAACCTGAGCCCTGTATTTCATGGAGTGATGGGAGGAAGGAAGCATCACAGGTTGGGTCTCAGTTCAGAAAAAGCCCTAGCAGGCTCATCTGCTTAGGTATGCAGAGTGGAAGTGTTAGAGTGTGCCTTCCCCACCTCGTATATTACTGACTACAGTGTCAAGTCGATAGATAACAAGGGAAATCATATAACTCCCAACCTGTTAAATGTTAGTTATGCAGAGTTTGTGCTCCCCAAAATCGAAGAATGAATTTTAAGGAACAGCAGAGGTTAAGAGTAGAAAAAATTAGGGCCAGGGATTTAGCTCAGTGGTGCCACTGCTTGCCTTGTAAGCACAAGGTCCTGAGTTCAATTCCTGGTGCACGCGCGTGCACACACACACACACACACACACACACACACAGAGTAGAAAAATGTATTGAAAGAGATTCCTCCTGAGAGACAGGAGGGGACCCACAAAATCATGAGGTGGGTACAATGTAGGCCAAAACTGATCAACCAAGATTATCAGTATAGTCGCTTAGGTAATATCAATCCAGTGAGGAAAGAGGTCACATAGGAAGTGTACCTGGAAAGACATTTTCAGGAAGGGATAATCAGGAGGTCCTGGCCACCCACCTGGGTGACTGACGTCTATCTAAACTTTATTGAACCAAGTGATTCCAATTATAGTATCATCTTGAATTTATTGCTTATCCCTTGGGGAGGTCATTTTGTCTTTATCTCATTGAGGCCTGGCCTTTGACAGATGTGCCTCTAGCCACAGTTGTAATGTGTTCTCATTTTCTGTACTGACTCCCTCTGGTATTTTTACCTAATTTAGTTGTCTATAATAAAGGGATATACTACAGTCCTCTCTACATATTATTTTTTTCGTCTTTCCAACTATCCCTTAAATATGTTTTTCCCCCTGTAGTACTGGGGATTTAACCCAGGGCCCTCTCAGTGAACTTCGTCCCCAACTCTGGTTTGTTTTTTTGTGTGTGTGTTTTTTGCTTTTTTGTTTTTTTGATTGAGACAGTGTCTAAATTGCTAAGTTACCCATGTTGGGCCTTTAAGGGGCCATTTTCCTGCTTCAGCCTCCCAGAACACGAGGATTACAGGCCTGGTTGAAATATCCTTATTGTTAGATTAGGAAACTGAGGCTCAGTGTTTCAGTGGTGAACTCAAGGTTGCAGTAGGGAGCTGTGGATCTGGCCAACCCGGAGAGAGCCTAACTCGGAGCCTCAGCATGAGCCTGAAAGCCAGTGCGAAGCCAGCGTGAAACCAATGTGAAGTCTTGAAGGAACACACAGAATCAACTTCTCTAGCTTTTAGTGTAATCAAAGTTACTATCACTTCAGGATCTTCCCCCTCTTTAACATAGGTACTTTGCTCTTGAAGTCAAGCAAATGGACTCACCACTTTCCTTGGCCGACTGCTGAAAAAAAAAAATCTCCATCTAATATTCAGCCTGCGCGCGTGTGCACGCGCACACGCGCACACACGCACGCACGCGCGCGCACACACACACACACACACACACATTTTCACTGCTTTAAAATCTGATGGGAAGACTAATACTAGTTCTCAGAATGGGAAATTTCTCAGCCCCAAAGAGGATTTCTTTACCTTTCTCCAGTGCCAACACATTCCATGGCAGTAAATTGAGTCTCTAGAGAGGCCCATTCATTCCTGGGTGCCACTGATGTGGCAGCATCAGAAATACTAAGTAGCTGGAAAGAGCGTTGGAAAGCCCTGACCCTAAGCAATTCCGATCCGAAGCAGACTCTCCCCCAAACTGCTCCGAAGGTTTCTGCCTTTGGAAATGTCTTCGTGGTCATCTATCTTTTCCTCCTGGTGAAGGAGATCCGCGGGCATCTCCCCCGCACACCCCATTTAATGACAAAATGGGGATGGGAGCGTGTCGCCCAGTCACGGTGTTATGGGGAGGCCAGATGGCAGCGAGGGAGGACTCTAGCAACCATGGAGCGCGGTGGAGGTGGCGGTTTCAATCCAGATCTCGATCAAGGCCTTCCGAGGCGGGGTGAGCCCAGGTGAGGACCCGCGCCCGGGAGCCAGGGGCCAGGTTATTTTCTAACTTGAGCACAAAATTACCACAAACAGGAGGTTAAGACAGAAAAAATGGTAAAAGCTCAGGAAATATTTGCAGGTTGCCAGTGCCAAGAGATATAACTAATATTCATATCAGTTGATTAGAATGAGCAGTGACTTCCCTTACCTCCCTGTGTGCTCTGTAACCTTGTAACTATCTCATATAAATGAGAGTCCTTTGTATCACTTTAGCTCTGATTTCCATGACTTTTCCTACTTTGTGTCCCTCTATAATACCTTTCTTTGTTTTTTGCACAACTGTAGGTTATAAGAGCAGGAAAAGTTTAGAAGGAGAAAACATTCTGCCACTGACTTCTTGGCTCTGTGTAGAGTGGCTCTCACAATTCTATCAGAGTTGCATCAGTGTTTGGAAATGGCCTGAAGTTAGGCTTAAAATCAAACTTCAGAATGTTTGTTCATTGATCTAGATTTTTCCAAGTCCCCCTCCCTCAAGCCTTCCTTCAACCAGAAGATTTTTAGAAAGGAGAGTTGAGAATATAAATATATGTGATATATCATATAGTAATTATAACCTAAATAAATATATATAATATATATACACACGGGGGGATCGAACTCAGGACCTTGCGCTTTCGAAGCAGGCAGCAGCACCACCGAGCTAAATCCCCGGCCCCGGGGGCGCCCTTTTGCCCGCCATCTGGGCCAAGGAAATGGGGGAGGGCAGCTACCCCGAGCTGGGGCAGCGAGAAGCACAGCCAGAGAAATGCCACTCGCGCAGCCCCGAACAGGGCAGGGGAGGAAAGCTGGGGATCGAACTCAGGACCTTGCGCTTTCGAAGCAGGCAGCAGCACCACCGAGCTAAATCCCCGGCCCCGGGGGCGCCCTTTTGCCCGCCATCTGGGCCAAGGAAATGGGGGAGGGCAGCTACCCCGAGCTGGGGCAGCGAGAAGCACAGCCAGAGAAATGCCACTCGCGCAGCCCCGAACAGGGCAGGGGAGGAAAGCTCGTGCTGGGGGCTGGGGGATCCAGTCACTGAGGCACCCTCAGCTCGGGGTGACCCAGCGTGTTGCCAGGACGAGCAGGAACATTTCCAGGGCTCTCGAAGGTAACCACAAGGTGGGACTCCTGGAAGGAAGGCGCAGACGGCAGGAAGTCACGATGCAGAGAAAGGGACATTCGGGTGGCTGGAGCATTTGTTTTGAAGGAGGCTGAGGAGGATGGAGGAAGGTGAGAAAGGCTTCTCCAGTGGGGCTGGCGCTTCGGAAGGCAGACAAGGCCCACCGTAGTCTGCCTGTCTGATCTGGCGGTGCTGGGGTCTGTGGTTAAAGGGACGGGGCCTGGGGCATCCTGGACAGTGCTTGAGGGGATCCCCCGTTCTGGGAGTGGATCTGTGGCCTCCCCTCGGAGCGAATCTCGTCTTCATGGGTCCTGAAAGGGCCCCTCCTGTGGGAAGCCTGAATTGAGGGGATCCTGCCCACACCTAATTGGTTCCACCTTGGCCAGCCGTGGAGCAGCCTTCTCAGGGTTGGGGCCCTGGCTGGGAACACCTGAGGGGAGAGCCCTCCGACTGGAATGCTCTCCTAGAAGACCCTGCTGCCTCAGGGAGGGCGCCAGCTCTCGGCTTCCCCTGGAGGATTTCTCTCCCAGCTCCCCCTCAACACAGGCTCCTCGCCAAGAGAGGAAGATGCAGCCAGAAGGAGCAGAGCCTTGTGAGAGACATTTCAGAGATAGATGGGGTTCAGGAACCTGGCTGTGGCTGGGAGAAGGCTGTGTGCCCCTGGGAAGGGCTCAGGAAAGAGGCAGGTGTTGGGCAAAGTCGTGGGAGGAGCTGGGAGTGGCCGAGGGGCCAGATGGACGAGGGGGACAGGATGTAGGCTGGGGGACAAAGGTCAACAGGTTACCAGTTATTGAAACGGGCAGTGGCTATTTTTGATGGGAGCCTGGTGCCAGGAACTGCTGAGCTCTTTACAGAGAACTGTGGGCTGCCTGGGGCCCTGGCCTTTCCCTGAAGAGCAGTCACATGCACTCTCGCGCCCGGGCCACGTTCCAAGTCCCAAGAGTGACCTGTCTTCTCCCTTTGAGAGTTTCACGCCCCCTTACTGCACATGCTCTCAAGACTTTTAGGAGACGTGTATCTCACACTGTCCGCAGATGAATGAGGGAAGCTCTATTTCTAAAATCCTGGGATGGACCTTCTGAGGATCCCATGCCCCACAGCACTAATCACAACCCTTCTTGTCTCTACCCTGTAGTCCCCCTTCTTAGATGCCTTCTGTTTGCCAGAAGGTGAATGTGAGATAGGCCAGAAACTTCCTCAGAAACCCTCTGGGCAGACCACTTTGGGGGCAGAGGTGCCATCCCAGCACCCTCTCCCACCCAGGCCCTCAGTATGTTGGCGGAAAACCTGAAGACAGTTCTCAGAATTCTTTCTTTGCTTCTGAATGCCTGTTCCCCCCCAGCTCCGCCCCCAGTCTGCAGGATGCGGAGGACTCCTTAGGAGCTTGGGTTCTGTGAAAGAAAGATACCTGCCTTTCTTCATGCCAGCCTTGTTAAATCTGCCCCAGTGGGTTTCCTAAGTACTTTCTTATTTAAAGCTTAGTAAGGGCTTGTGATTCTCCCTCATCTTGGCCATGTTTTTCAGCATTAACTAAAACTTACGGGAAAGAGTTGGATGGTTAAGAGAAGCTTTTCCTTAGGTGATTTGGAAGTTTTCTGAGGAGATGGAAGAGCAGCCAAGGAAATGGGGGTGGCCAGGTCATATTCATTCTTGTATCTGTTCCCCTAAAAAGCCAGTTCTAGGATGAATAACATGCGGTCACTGTGGTCCAGCTGCACCAAGCACAGTCTCTCACCATGCTGGGCACCAATCTAGGCACCAGTCTAGGCACCAGTCTAAGCAGTGTTCCCTGGAAATGTCTTTTTTTTTTGTTTGGGAGAGGGGAAAACAAGGCAATTCTCGAGTTGCTGTCAAGACCAGGTCCAGATTCTTGGCTCACTTGATGTCATCTAGGCTGGTTCTTTGATGCACCCTGCTGTGTACCGCACTTGCCATGACATTTCATAGAGGATCCTGCCAGGGAGCAGCGAGGAGACCTTCCAGGTAGACAGAAGCGCTGCGCCCCTCCCCCGTTCCTCCGGCCAGCAGGTGGGCAGGTGGCCTTGCAGCTGGGTTTGTGCCAGCGTGGGTGTTCCTTTCTCCTGCAGCTGTGTTCCCAGTGGGGGCTGGTGCAGAAGAAGGTGCAGCCAGAGCCTTCGGCTCCCTGCCTCCGGCTATTTCCTGACAAGACTACCTTGCCTGTTAGAGTAACTGAGCATTGTACAAAGCACCAGTCCAGGCATTTTAGGGACATATTACAGTTCAACTCTTCCTGCCTACAGAAGCTCTCCAGTTGGGGAAGTGAGACAGGCAAAAGAAGAGCTAGTGCGAAAAGGAGATAATAACCAGAAGTACTTGGTGAAGCGCTCTTCAGTGTGAGGGATCGATCAGTACTACTCCTGCTAATGCAGGTGCCTTGGAAGGTCTCGTGGTGGTCATACCCGGTATCCGTGGGAGCGGTGAAGCAGCTGGTGAATGGGGACGGGTACTAAGGCTAGACAAGTGCCGTTGCTTTTGGGGATCAGAGGAGAGAGCCTGCGAGTTCTAACTGACCAGCAAGGAAGGCCGAAGCTGGGCCCTGTAGCGTGGGCTGCCTGTGGTCATTCCTGCAGCAGAAGGGAGAGACGAACGGCCTGAACAGAGAGATAGGACGAGATGTGTGAAGTGCATGGGCCCTCCACCCATGGAGCTTGGGGCAGGCTGGAGAACCTTCCGCTGCTTATCTCCTCTCTGTCTCCCAAGATAGGTGACTTGAGGGTGAGATCCAGTCCTATCCCGCTATGTTTTCCTAGGCTGTAGCCCAGGGCGAGCCAGGTCCCATCTCCGTCCATGTGGTTAAATTGCTAAAGAATGAATGAGCAGTTGGCAGAGGCATCCAGGTCCTGGCTGGTGAAAAGGCTTCTGAGCAGAGCGGTTTTCATGTCGGCTGGACAGGGGTCCAGCCTGGTCTAGGGCGTGCAGCTGTGCATCCCAGCCGGAAGGCGCCTCCTAGGCAGCTCCCCCTTCCCCTCGCACACCCCCCCATACCAGTACCAGCCTTCACATAATCCTGCTCTGATTTCCCTTCCGATGAGGGAGAAGGCTCAAACCCGTCAAGTGCAAAGAGGCCTGTGCCGTCTGCTCAGACATCTGCATTCACAGGCCCTTTGATGGCCTTTCTGCAGGGTTTGTAAGCCACCAATGCAAGCGGAAGGGACTGTGCGCGAGCCGTTTTTCTCATCCTTTGTCTCCCCTCAGTGGACCTCACGTGGTCTCTGGACCTGTAGTTAGAAAAGCCACCCTTAGGCTGCTCCCCTTTTGGGCGAGGAATCTGCCTGGGCTGTGACTTTCTGGTTAGACCGGTTGGGCTGCCGTGACCTGAGGCTGCTTTCTCCATGGGTCAGCTGCTTCCGTCTCACCTTCCTCGGGAAGTTTTGCCCCAACAGCTCCAGCTGCCTGAGGCAGTGACTGGGCGGGGCAACTGAGGGACCGGGAAGGGGGGCGCTGAGCCTAGAACCCGGTGACCCGACAGAAGCCGAGGTGCATACATGCGTGGGCTCGGCGGTCCTGGGGTCTGAGGGGCTGGTGTACAGAGGCAGGGTGACACGGTGGGAGGGTCAGGCTGGTTCTGTGCTCTGCTGCAGGGGCAGCTCGTAGTAGGTGGGCCCTTCCCACCCTCTTCCCCAGTGGAGAGGAAGGCAGGTGCGCAGTGGTGAGGGAGCCCTCAGCAGAATGGAGAGACCCAGTCCGACATGCACATTCTCCAGGTCTTTACTGGCTCTGTGACCCGCAAACAGTTATTTAACATCTCCACACTATGTTCTGAATCTCTAAATTGGAGACGGTAACAGAATCTTTCTTAATGGCTGTGGGGAAGAGTACAGAAGCTGATGGATAAAAAGCACTTAGCACTGTATTTTCACTCCTAACTCGTGAGAATGTTGCAGAGACCAGTGTCCTGTCAGCAGCGTGCCATGAGGTCACCCCGTCATTCTCTGGTTCAGCACTACTTACTGGAAACCCACCCTGTGTCAGGTGCCGTGCTAAGAGCGAGGGACACTGGTGAATCAAACAGATGCCAAGGAGCTGTCTTTCGTGCCAGGGGAGCACGCGAGAGGTTCTGTGATTCGCTTCAGTTTCTGTCCCAGCACCCACCTGGCCCCGACTGTCCAGCATCTGAGGAGGAAGAGTGACTTGCTGAGGTGGTGGAAAAGAGTACGGTGGCCTGGCCTGGGGTGGACAGAGGTGGCTCTGCTTCAAGCCTGGGGCCCCTTCCAAAGTGTCACTCTACCTCCAGCCTCCATTTCTCTATTTCTCCTTCTAACACAGGCACAGACCTGGCCTCCCACCCTCTTTCCCAAAGATGTGACCGCTGGGAACAACTGAGCCTGCACAGCGCTTTGGCTGATCCGCCTTCCCAGATCTGTACAATCACTTGAGGCTTTCAGGGTTATTTATTTCCCCCCTCCCTCCCTGAACTCCCTGCTCTCCCTTCCCCTCTCTTCCTCCCCTTTCCAGGCAGCTTGGTGAGCAGCTTTATAACATGAAAGTCGATATTGGGCCATTACCCTTCTACCCTGACTGCCAGCTCTTCGCAGAGTGCCTCCTTCTGTAATCTAATATTTGTTCCTGTTTCCCTGTAAAACTGCCAGTTTTCTGTGGGGGCCTCTGGCCTGTCCTTGGCCCTTCTGCCTGGTCAGTGAGCTTTGCAAGGAGGCAAGGGCTCTCTGGACGTTTAATTCCTCCCACTGAGGAGGGGCGGGCTAATCATCCACCCTATTTTATAAGTGGGAAAACCAAAGCTCACATAGAGCTGATGACTCCCAGACTTGAGCCTCCCCTCTCCTCCAGGTTCTCCAGGCTGGCACTGGGCACGGGTTTCATCCCCTAAGTCCCTCCCACACACTGCCAAGCGGAACCTTTCTCCCACGAGCCAAAGGGGAGAGGACGTGGGCCTCAGCCCATGAGGGCCCTGCTTCCTCTACACACCCTTACACGCAGAGGCAGGGGCCTGTGGTCCAGGAGTCTACCTGGGGGCTGGAGGGGAGACCTGAGTGTTGCTTGCCTCCTGTTACCATTTGGATGTGGATTCACTGAGAAAGCTGGTGCCGGTGGACCTAGAGGGCGAGTAGTTGGCTTTGAAATGCGGATC